TAAACCCTACGTAAACCCCTAAACTTATAAACCCTAAATGCTAAACCCTACATCCTTAGTTTCTCCTGCCTTGCTTCGTGGACGCTGTAGACGCGGCGTGAGCGGAAGTTGGATCTGCACCCCACGCGGGTTTAGGCCTCCGCCTCTGCATCCCTGTGGTCGCACTCCGATTCAGAGGATGCCCCGGAACACGGTTAAAGGGTTTAGGGTTTAGGGTGAAGCACTGAAGCACTTTTCCCGAGAGATTACTTGGCGATTCATGGGCAGAAAGAATGGTTTCAAGATGCCGAAAGCAAGCTCACATCCCATCATACGTCTAGATATCCTGCCTATAACGAATGCAAGCATGAGCGGGCTCAAATAGCGATCTGGGGCATGTTTGAACATAACGCTCGGACCTTAAAATGCAAATGGGCTACCCAGACCCCTGGAAGGATCTAGAAAGTAGAGCCCCCTGTGGTACTATTTGGGATCTATCTCTAGATCCACCCAGGTGCCTGAGTATAAAGACCTAACTGCCCTAACGATTCACGACTCTAGGTGAGGGCTTAGAATCCCTAAGCCCTAAACCCTAAATACCTTGACCCTAGGGTTTAGGCTTTAGGATTTAGGGGTTTAGGGGTTTAGGGGTTTAGGGGTTTAGGGTTTAGGCCCTGCAATGTAGTTCCTTTTTGGGTTTGGTATGGTTTTTTGGTTAGGGTTCTTGTTAGGACTACCAAAAAGGTACTACATTGGAGGGTCTAGGTAAACCCTAAGTACAGTGGTAGGTTCCATTTTTTCTTCCCATTCCTTTCTAGGTTCCCCTCACCCGCCAAACGCCATCCCCGGTTCGCCTCCAAAGTCTTCAACTCCTAGTATCCCCTTAAAAGCCCCTATATGAGTCCCCTATATAACCCCCTAAACCCTAAATCCTAAAGCCTTAACCCTAAACCCTAAACAAAGGGGTTAAGGAATTTAGGTAGACGTAAGCTGCTCTCAGACGAAGACCTCTGCAAGGCGCGTGGACTGTGGGGTTTTCGGGGAATTTAGAGTTTAGGATTTAAGGTTTCAGGGTTTAGGGGTTACGCTTTTAGGGTTTGGGGTTTAGGGTTTTAGGGTTCAGAGTTTTAGGGTTTAGAGTTTTAGAGTTTAAGGTTTTGGGGTTTTAGGGCGTACGGTTTTAGGGTTAAGGGGTGTAAGTTGGCCGTGTCCCTTGGATTTTAGAATATTAGCGCCACTATTACATGAGAAGCATCACCGCTTAATATTAAAGACTTCCCCCACTCATATCATAAATTCCCATTCTGGTATACTGCCTGTAGGGTTTATACAGGAATTATGACGCCGACTCTGGGGAGGTTATATAGAGACTATATAGGCAGCATATAAAACTTTGAACCCTGAAATTCAAAAAACAGATAAGCTGAAAATCCTAGACCTCTGGACCTGAAACCTCTCAAACTCGCTGCGCAACATGCCTGAATACCCTAAACCCTAACCCCAAAACCTCAGCCCTAAGCCCTGAACCTTATGTATCCTGATGGCGTCTCTAGGCCCCAGAAGCTCAGCGTCAACGCTGCATGGCACGGCCAGGGATGACGAAGGAGAAGCTCGTGGCTTGGGCTTTAGGGTTTTAGAGTTTAGGGTTTTAGGTTTTGGGTTGTAGGATTTTAGGGTTCAGGGTTTGGGGCTTAGGGTGCAGGGATTAGGGTTTAGGGATTAGGGTTTTGGGTTGAGGATTTAGGGTCCAGGGTTTAGGGTTTAGAATGCAGGTTTCAGGTTTACATGTAGGTTGGGCTGCCACCCAGTAACAGTGGTATATCAGGAATATGTAAGCACCTCAATATAATTACCATTATCCCTTGTAGTCACTCTTCGTGGGTGTATGCCTAGCCTAAATTCGTAATCTAAGTTACATGGTAATTTCTCTAAATAGAGGAACCCCCATATAGGTCCCAAAATATTTGACTTCTTATGATACGGACCCCCAAAACGGTACTCCTAATTTCTTCAGAAGACCCCCACATAGGGTATCCGGTGGTGCAAGGTTTCGTCAGGCTTCAGGGTTGAGTGTTCTGAGAGTAGGCTACATGTTTGAAGCTAAGGGTTGGGGATCATTGGTTTAGGCTTGGGTGTACCCAGACCGCTAAAGGATCCAAAAAATGGAACCTCCATTGGGGAAACCAGGGGATTATTTGGGGGTTCCTTTTTTTGGAACCTTCAGGGGGTCTGGAGTAGGGGTTGAATTTTCGGGCTTGGGGGTTGAGCGTGCTTGGTTCCGATTACTTGGGTTCAGAGTTGAGGGTTTCAGGCGCACGAGGGGTCATCTGCGAATCTGGGAGGTTCTTAACATAACCATCGGCAAGTTGTAGCAGTGGACCCATGTAATCCCTGGAGCTTTTTACGGCAGGTCTCGATTTGTCACGGGAAGCGTTGCAAGCGCACAAGACATGGGTTAGCTGAGGTGGGCTTTGGTAGCAACATGGGCTTGGTCAGCGGGTGTGGAGAGTTACGTTCCAACAACTAATTAGGTAATTAGGGGCCCCTTTTTGAGGGGTGGTTGCAGGAAGGAGGAAAACATGTCTGTGTTTGTATTGGGTGGGCCCTTTGTTCACGGAAACTCTAAAGCCTGAAGCCCCAACCCGATAATCCTCTCCCCCTACTATTAAACCCCCCACCCCCCAGCATCAAATATTCCTAATATATTGTAAAAATATACCACATAATGGGAGTATTCAGTATTAGGCGGGTGGGGGAATTAGATATAAGGGGGAGGGGGTTATCATGGAAACTACCACCAAGGACTTCTTGTTGTCTCAGCAGCTTACACCCGAAGAACGGCAGGCGTTTGCCGACTTCACGGCTCTTTGGCTCGGTTTAGGGTTTAGGGTTTAGGGGAGAATCAAACTTACTTAGCCAATAGAAGAATTTATTTTTTTTGTGGCTTCCTTTTTGGGTCGCTATAATAATGTTTAAACTTGTTTAGCCCTGGTTATTGGGGGAGAGAGCAAATGAGCTACACCTGGACCCTAAAAGTAGGTGAGATAATATCCCCCAGACCCCCAAAACAGCTCAAAAGGCCATTACTCTACATACTTGTGAGGGTCCAGGTAGTCAAACTTCCTTACAGCAGGGTTATACGGCGGATTATGAAGTATTCTACCGGTTACTAGCGGGGATTTCTCATGCTATAGCTCAAATGGACAAGAAGAACATGACATGGAAACTGGATTATACTGTGGCTTAAAGGGACCCTGCTCAGGCTTCTACACTACACGTTCGTTATGCAGTGTAGACGCCCAGAAAACATCCAACGTTATCCTCTAGAGTTTGTACATGGTTATATGGTACAACATATGCCCAAAAACCCATTGCAAATTGAACAGGCCCCTACAATGGTCTTTCGTAGCCCTTTGCCGCAAGAAATCCCCAGTTTCAGTCAAACATACCTTGATACCCGTTTTGCGGGCTTAGGGCACTCCAGCCCACAAAAACCTTAAACCCTAAATCCTAAACCCTAAACCAAGTACCAAGCCCCAAATCTCGTCACCCAACACCCTGCCCTAGTCACCTCGCCTACTCAGTCGAAGTCTGGGAGCCTAAAGAGTTGGTATTGGGGTTATATTTCGATAATGGAAAAGAAAATGGAAACTACCATAATGGGGTTATATAGGGTTTAGGGCTTAGGGTTTGGGGTGATACTGGGGTTATATAGGGACAATGGAAAATACAATGGAAACTACTATAGCGGTGCTTCTTAAAACCCCTGTAAAGCTATGGTCTAGTATTCCCTCAAGCCCCGTTCGAATAGACCAAGCCCCTACATCATGCTTTGTTGGCCGCTTTGAACCTTGATTTTTTGCACACGAGAGGGCTACATTCGTGTTCCTTGGGATTTAAGACTCTCCGTGTATGGCACGCACACAGCGGCCCACCAAACTTTGAGGAACGATGCCCAGAACATCTTGCGCAGACCATTTCAAGTCAAAGGCAGGATGCACGTACAGCTCTTCCTTTGGAATTCTACATGCGCTCACCGAAACAATACTCCAAGCGAGTCCAATAATGAGTCTAAAACACCTGACATGATGCTAGACTCTTTTTAAAATCTTATAGAACATCCCACCAAACCCTGTAAGCCCTAAATACCATATCCCTACGTCTCCCCCTCTAACCTCATATAGCCTATGTCCTAACTCTATACCCTAAACCCTAACCCCAAACCCTAAACCGTAAAAACTAAACCCTAAACCCCAAGACCCTAGACCCCCCCAAAAGTTATATTCCCTAAGGGTCCAAGTACCAAATAATCATATACTTACCCAAAACCTATACTATGATTACTATTACCCAAATCCCAAGTACCTCATTAATGGGTACTTGAACCCTTCCTAAACCCTAAACCCCTAAAGCCCTAAATTCTAAACCCTAAACCCCTATATAATATTTGGGCCAGACAGCGCCTACTCAAAGGTTGGTCGTCTATGCTTCGCTGCTGCTTCTATCCAGCACAGACAGGCCTTCAGCGCAGCGCAAACGCTGTTATCCATATTGGGGTTATATAGGGGTTCTATAGATATAAAAGAAAATGGAAACTACTATGATATATTGGGGTTGCATTAGACATGCAAGGGTTGCAAGTTGGCCTTGGTATTTGTTTCCACCTTCATTCCACCTAAAAAGCATTTTGTTGTCTTGACAGGGAGCTCTCCAGTGCTCTTCGCCAAGAGGCCGTTGACGAGCTTTTCCCCGCAGCTTGGCTTTTGCAATTTGCGGAGCTTGTTGCGTTTGATTGTTGCATGTTTTGTGTTGAGAGCCAAGGACTGGAACAAAGCTGCCGAGCGCATGAAAGAGGGCGAGAAGACGCCCGAGTTGAAGGACCGCCTTGTTGTGAGTTATGAATGTTATGAGGCTAGTTTCAGTTGCCTTGAGATCAGGCAGTCGACTCGAGAACTTGCCGAGTTGTAGTTCTCACTTCAGATCTCGGCACAAGGGTTTCGTAGTCTGTACTTCGCATAGCCATGGCGCAACTTGGGGGTTCTGTGCAATTGGCGAGCACCACCCGGGAATATGTGCGATTGCTGATGAAGCCCACATTGACTGCTGATATGTTTGGCTGCCGACACGACGACTGGGCCACGGCCTTTTCGCGCTGGAATGTCCTTTATGTCTGGGCGCTTCTCGTAGTGTCCTTGTTGTTTTGGCTGCTGCAGGTGCTCAGCCTGCTTCTTCGATTTGCATTGATCTCTATTGCTTTTCAGGTGGTTTTCACTCTTGTGGACATCATCATCTTCATGCTTCTGAACTGGACCTCCTGGTACTGTGTGGTAAAGAGATTGGGTTTCTGCGGCCGCGTTGGCTACTTGGCTTGGGCTCTGGTTTACGTCTGCTTGAATATCGGCAGACTCGGCGCTGTGGTGAATGGCGGTCTCAATTACTGGATTTACATTTTGATGCTCATCCCTGCGGCGTACATGGTCCTTGCACTTATCCAGCTTTTCTGCGGCGGGGGCACGCGAGGCCCACTCCTCGCCGGCTCTTGAGCTGTGAGGGCATATCGCAGGGCGTGCTGCCAAAGGAAACTTCCATCTGCCTGTGAGAAAAAACTGCGGATGTTGTTGGGTTCTGTTTGGACATGATTTTCTGCGAAAACAAGCCTGTGCTTGGACTCCACGTTGAGTGGAGACAATTCTGCTTGGTCATTTAAGATCAGCTTGGGTATGTCAAGCAAGAACAGGGATTAGGATTCCATTGCAGGTGTTTGGATGCCTAGATCTTACATCTGACATTGCACCCCGAAGCTTAGACTTGGCTCAAACCCAAAATACGTACAGCTTGCAAGCAGGTTGCAGCAGGGCTCGCATCTTGGCTTGCATGACTTGAGTCAAGTTAGTCCTGCCGCTAGAAATGCACGACGTCTTCCCCTCCCCTAGAAAAATTGTCTAGAGTATGCATGAGGCGGAACTTTGTCTCGCGCGACCCCACAGTAGCCTCAAAAACCAATAGTTCCTGGAAAATTTAAGCTGCACCAAGGGTTCCAAGATCTCGAGCCCCCTAAATTGATGCGCAATTTACCCTTAATTGGCACCTTTTGAAGTGGCAAGTAGTCTTGCCAATTTCAAACAAAAATAGACTTCCAGGATCTTGGGCTTCCACTCGGAGTACTGAGAACTAGTTTGTGGTTATTTACTGGGGGGAGGGAGAAGCTGCAAAACTAGCTTAATGCATGTTCCGCGGAATTTCTTTGAGTATACTGCGGGTCTCTATGTCTGGTTTTCTTGCATATTGGGGATGCACACCGGCTTGCCTCATATCCTCTTCGAGGATGACGTTAGCAGCTTGTCAGATTGAATAATGTGTTGGCAATGCTCTTGCGCGCCCAAACCTATATTACAGCAGTCTGACACTGTGACACAAACTACTCAAGCTGTGCAGCAGCCTCCTAGCCTTCCTGGATTACTCAAAGCCTCCATCAGTCCACCCCGAAAGTCTAAAGCATAGCCATCACCTCAAGACGAAGAAGCTTGCCACTCTCCTATGCCATGGCCGGATATGGCGACGCTGGTGATGAAGCTGCGATCGACGCCTTGGGCTGTGCTCCAGACGTGGCTTCCATCGTGGGTTCAACACCTATGGTGAGGCTGAACCGTGTCACGAAAGATTGCGTGGCAGAGGTCTTTGCAAAGCTCGAGTTCGTTTCCCCTGGTGGCTCAGTCAAAGACCGCATTGCTGCCCGCATGATCGAGGAGGCAGAGGCTCGAGGAGAGATTTCTCCAGGGCGTACTGTGTTGGTTGAAGCGACCAGTGGAAATACCGGGGTGGCCATAGCCATGATTGCGGCAGCCAAAGGCTATCGCTGCATTTTGACGATGCCGCGTACTCCGACGATGACTGAGAGATACATGCTTTGCCGCGCCCATGGCGCCTGAAGCTCAGCATGCGGCGGGCAGGATATGAGTAAGCGATGATCAACCTCCTGTCCAATATATACCTTATGATAATGTAGTAGTTTGTTTCCACTTCTGTTTAGATGCTTTTTAGCATCATCCTCATAAAATCCCAATACATTCCCTTGTTCCCTGTATTACTATTATTACTGTTATTGCTATCCTCATTACTATTACTATATTACTACATTCTTATACTACCACATCACTTGTTATTACTTAGGTAGACCCCCCCACCCTGTAATAGTCAATATAAGGGATAATGAGGATTACATTAGGGTCCTCTTATATTCCTCTCATACCACTATTACAGGGTGGGGGGTCCTCCTAAGTTATTACTAACCCTAAACCCTAAACCCTAGACCCTAAACCCTAAACCCTAAACCCTAAACTCTAAACCCTAAACCCTAAACCCTAAACCGAAAAGTTCCCTGGCCGAGGCCGAGGTGCGGCTCTCGGACCCTGCGGAGGGAGCCGAGGGCTTCGTGCGCTTGGCCGAGAAGATCGCGGCCGAGACCCCGGATGCGGTCCTGCTGCTTGGGTTGCTGATCCAGGGTTTAGGGTTTGGTTTAGGGTTTAGGGCTGAGGGTTTAGGGTTTAGGGTTTCGGGTTTGGGGTTTAGGGTTTAGGGTTTGGGGTTTCGGGCTACTGTATTATCCTGCTATAATGGTGAACGAAATGGAAAAAAAACATGGAAAATGACATGGAAACTGGGGGAATATAGGGGCTTAAGGAACTTAATATAAGTTACTAAATTGGGGGAACCTTATGATTTACGATATATACCCATTATGGTAACTTAATGTGAGTTTCTTAACAACAACCCAGGCTTCGGCAGTTCGTTAACAAAGACAATGCGCTTGCTCACTACGAGGGAACAGGTCCTGAAATCTGGAGACAGACCAAGGGCAAGGTCAATGCTGTTGTCATGGGTGCGGGGACCGGTGGCACCTTAGTAGGTGTATCACGGTATTTGAAGGAGAAGAACCCGCATGTGGAGATAATTTGCGTGGAAGCTGCAGAGAGCCGCGTGTTGGCTGGCAAGGACGAGCCGTCTCCCGTCTCACATGGGCTGGTAGGTATCAGTGCTGGCCTCCGCCTACCGCTGCTTGAAGCTGAGGGCGAAGGCGAGGGTAGCTTGGCGGCAGGCCTTATCGACGAATTTGCTGAAGTGGCGTCTTCACGTGGTGTGGGCATGGCAAAGCGGCTGGCAGAGCAGGAGGGCCTCCTGGTTGGGCCATCGTCGGGCGCTGCTTGTGCTGCAGCACTGGACGTTGCTAGTCAGCCGGCAAGGACGGGCACCTTGGATGTTGCAAGCGTCAAGTGCAATACGTTTGGGTCTTCTATTGTTGTTGTTTTTCATGTCTTTTTAGCCTCTAATTTGCTTAGACAAGGTCAGATCGTGGTGGTTGTGTTTCCGTCCTCTGGTGCTCGCTACCTCCAGCATCCGATGTTCGACCGCCTTCGTTCAGAGGCTTCCCGCGAGCTGCCTTGGTGCAACTTCTGCTCCCCCGAGAACTGGCGCTGATTGACCGCTGGCAATCTGCTACAGTCTGCAGGTGAATTGCGCTGGGCGAAAAAGCAGATGCCTGCGCCCACCAGTGCCAGACCAGAAAGCAGCTGAGGAAGATTCTTGCCCACTTACTGTTGGAGAGGAGCTGCTGCATGTGGACGACGTATCCCAGACATTGACGCTCTTTAACGACCGCTGTCGAGACCAGGCCTTGCGGTGGGGGGGTCCAGGGCGAATGCAGCTGCCAGGAGCTGCAGCAAACAGCCGTGCCGCATGAGCAGCATGAATCCCGTGCGCGAATGTGTGCATCTCAGGCAGGCGTCACAAGCTCTCTCAAGGCGAGAGAACGATTTCTTTCATTCGATCCATGTGAGGCAATGCAAGGAGGGTTATGCACTGCGTTGCAGGCTGTCTGGGAGTGCAAGCTCTTTGACATCACCGTGCGCAACCTTTCAGGTGGCAACAGAGATTGAGCATTGTACATTTTTTCTGCCATGTGGGATCTCAAAACAGTTAGCAATCTGCTGCATCAGGTCCAGAATGGGATCCTGCCGACGCTTCTCCGCATGTTGGCCGGAAAAGTTTTCTCCTGAAAACAAGGGATCCCAGAGCAGTTGTCAAGACGAATCTGATCCTAGATGAATCGGCATCTACCAGACTCCGATGCTGACAATGTCTTCGTCTCGGGCACAAGAGGCGCTAATGATCGGTCGAGAGATCACAATGCTTTTCATGTTGATGCCACGTCATCTTTTGCAGATGGGTCTTAATGGGAGTAGCTGTAGATCTGTGTCCAGGCGTCTTCGAAACGAAGGTTGACGAGCGTTGGAAGGCCCAGCACTGACAGTTTTCGGCTTTTCTGAATCCTGCCGATTCAACGTCAGGCCCTCAAAGATTCAGAAAGCAAGAAGCTAGGGCAGCACACCGAAGTGATAGCAAGTTCGACACAAACGTAGGCTCAGGCAATCATTTGAGTACAAACCATTCCCGCCTGGGGCCACGATCATGCACATAAGGTAGAGAATCGCAAGCTTTCTATGGCATCCTCTCTCCTCTCCCTCTCTCTCTCTCTCTCTCTCTCTCTCTCTCTCTCATAAGCACATGACTCCTCTTGTTAGTCTTTGAGTTTCACGAAGAGTTTGCTTGGCAGAATCTTGAGATGTTTAGTTTGGCATCTGGGCTTTGGTAGCCTGGTAGGTTTGGGGTTCACTGTTCCCTTCATGTCTCCCTGTGTGACCTTGCAGCTCCATTGCCACTCGCCTGATTAATTTTCGTTGTCTGTAGCCTTGTCACGCAAAATGCAGTTTTGCATTTGCAGCACCTGTTTTGGAGAAGGCCTTCGTGCACTGCGCTGATTTCCAAGAAGACCCTTTTTCCAACACCCGATTGAGTCAACGGATTTATAGGCACCCTGGTTTAACGTTCGTGAATCTCTTAGCAGTCGCGTGAATAAAGTGCTGCAGCTGTGCAGTGTGTAGGCGCTAGCAGACAAGCGGCGCAATGCAACCAAAGCGATCTGTAGTGGCTCGGCTTGGTCAATTTGTTGGGAGATCCTGGGAGGCCACTTCACGTAAGCCGTAAGCTTGTAGCCCCTCCCTAGTCTCTGCAACGTGCGAGGTGATGTCTTCATTCAGAACCACGTCGTGATCGGACCCTTATCATCAAAGTCTTTCTGAAAATAATGGGTGTGGGATGCTCGGCCGAGCCGAGGAGATGATCCGAAGAATGTGCCCTGGGGCAACGCCACCGCGTGGCTTGGCTGCAGGAGTGGAAGAGACAAATCTCAGGACTTGAGCACCGGTGACTGGTGTCTTGATGTATTGTATGTGACAAGAATTTCATACGGGTTTGATTTCATTGAAAACAACAAGGTGCAGCAAGATGCATGGAAACGCTTCTTGCAGCCAAGTAGAATATCTAACTGATCTAACTACCTCATGGAATCTCTGAGGCTGGTCAAGCTGTGGCCCAATGTCTGCAGGATGCATCCTCAAGAGATTTTTGAACGCACCCCGAGGTTTTCGGACTGGGTTGTCCAAAACGCGACAGACGGAGGACAGCTTCATCCCGTCCCTTGTTTCAATGAGACGTGGTTCTGCCCGGGCAAGTCGCAGTGTGCATCCAGGGCATGCATCTGACCTGCAGAGATTGACAGTTTGCACCCAGGTCTTCGATTACTTTCCGATCCGGGGTCATGGTCAGGCATGCTGCCTCACCAAAGGGCGCAGAATGAGTGCTGTTGACGAACCTGACACAGTGACACAGAACATATCAATGGTATTCAATGATTGAACCATGCAGACTGCACTAACGGACCGCCTGGATGAGCTTCGCAAGGATGAGTGCCTTGACTGCAGTTGATGACATGGCTAGTGGTGTATGCGCCAAGCTCGCATCCAAGGCAAGAGACGCAGAAAGGCATGGACAAGATCGAGCGAGCGCTGCAAGTAAAGGAGTCTGACGAGGAGCATCGGACACCATCCCACACCCTTACAGGAGTAAATCTCATTTGCAGCAAGCTTTTTTTCTGGAAGTTCGCATTGTCTAGAGCGAAGAGAAGATCTTCTTCATGCCGCTCCATTCATTGGAATGCTATCGTTGGGGCTGATTAGTTGCTTTCTTTGACGTGCCAGCAGGACGTGGACTCGCTTTTGGAACGCGGGAATCGCAGCGACCCCAGCGGCGTGAAGAGATGCTCAGGCGAGGCAGTAGCTGCCTGCGTCTCCCAGGCGATGCACGGAAGAGTGCCAGCGGCGTCTCCTCATTTGCACGGCTGCACCGAAGCACCTCGACACCAAAGGTTCAGCTTCTTAGAATTCCCGTCAGAGGTTGCATGGCTGTTGCAGGAAATCCTTGGCTGCTTGACGTGGAGGCTTGGCACGGGACGCCGCCTTTGAGCCTTGTCGTGTTTCGCTGACAGGACCCGGAACTTGCCCGGCAGCCGGCGAGCCCTGCCCTCAAGTGAAGCGGAGCTTCCGGAGTGAAGACATGAAGAAATGAGTGGGCTACGGCTATGGTCACTGATAGACCCGAAGCCTCCCTTGATATGTCTGAGAAACCTTACACTAGCCAAGTAGGTCTCGGCAACAACTTGAAAGCCCGTCCAAGAGAGCCTCGCAGGCTTGATGCAGCATGCTGCCACGCAGGCAGTGAATCTCCTATCCAATGGTTACATGTGCGAGTAGAGCTTGTTTACCACCTGAAGGATGCTGCGGCAGAAGGGCAGAACATATCAGAGCGCCTCTGGACTGCAAAACAAAGAATGGGGCTGCGTCTGTGTGTTCTTCTGAAGGTGCATGTTCATGTGCTGGGCCAAGAGCCAAGGAGAGCAAGAACGGCAAAAGGTCAATCAGGACTTGCCCTTCTTGCTTCCTGCATCGAGCACGCAATGAGCGCAAGCAATACACTAGCCCCCCAGGACGACGCTTACTACGGCTCAGGCCAGCGCATGATCTACTTGTAGTGGTCTCTGCCTATTCCTCTGTGAACTGCTCTGTGAGGCTGCTTTGATGAAAACGATGTCGCAGGGCTTCTGCGTGACCTCTGGTCAAAGCACGTAGGCTTGGTTGATCTTGGTTGACTGCTGACCTCTGACGCTGTTAGCATTACAGCCAGGTTGGGCTTCGTGCAGTCGCATGAGATATTAGTCCGGTCCGACAGGCGAAGGGCGCCTCAGCATGGAGAAGCACGCTGCCATGGACATGCTGAAGGAAGCTTGGCGAGCAACCTTTGTGCTCCGTCTCTGCCTCCTTTCTTCCTTAGCACCCTGATGCCAGATGCCTGGAGAGATGGATTTGAGTGATCTCAAGCAAGTGGGTTGCCGGCCAAGGAAGTGATGCCAAACGTCACAGGCTCCTCGGCGGGCACTTGTAAGTTAAGGGTGACTTGTGTCGCTTGCTGCTGCAGACATGTCTTGAGGTGACAACTTGGAGAGGCTTTGGCTTTCCGTATCCAGGATGCATTGGAGAGCATGGCACCCGCAAGCCCTGCAGCATGGCTTTCCCCAAGCAATCACCTTCCATCACAGTCTCCCGCTTGCTAAGATAAATACGAAGGGGGACAAAAGTCTCAGCGCAAAGGACAGATGTGCCAAAATTGTTCTGATCAATAAAGACATTTTGGCAACCGACAGGAGTTCTTGGACTTCGCTGAGAAGCATCTGCCGGAGCTGCAGTTCCCGGTGAGAGGCTGGTTCCGCAGTTTGCCATCCGGACTATTCGTCTGGAAAACTGCTTTGCAGCAGGCTACCTGAACCTGGAGTGCCGCAACCACCACTTCGGCCTCCTTGCGCTCTGTAAGCCGGAGTATATCTCAGTGTCGTACCAGATTGGATTTGCGGCTCGCCCTGGTCGTTCAGTGAGGGGGAAGGGTGGGGTTCAGGCCACAGCCAGTGAGAAACATGTTGAGGGGAGTTTGCCATGCCTGCAGCAGCTGATTGATTGTTCCTGCGTTCTAAGGTGCCCTCCAGGGTCGGGTCCGTGCATGGAAAGATGAAGGCAAATTTCAGTGTCATTTACGAGGGGGAGGTCTCGAGTTGTTTTGTTGAGCACATTACTGAGGTGGAAGGGCGAAGCGGCACTCGCGTGCACGTCCGCATGCTCTTCACTCAACTCGAGACCGGCTCAGGTGTCTTCTTTCGTTCGGGGAGCGAGACATTTTTCATTGCGAGCGTCTTCTAACAAAAAAAAGCTCGATGCAGAGGATGCAGGGATTTTCGTCAAACTAAAGTCTTTACCGCAGAAGCTGACTGGCTTGCATCCAGCAGGTTGGTACAAAGCTGATCTACGGATCCTCGTGAAGAGTACAGTGGGTACGAACACCTTCACCATCATATTGCTGATGGTGGTGATTCTCCTCCTGCCCCTTGGTTGCCTTCCTTGCAGTGCCAGAGCCATGGTTTCTGATCTGGAATGATCGAAAGGTGCTTCTGCCTGACGCTCTTCGATACCGCCTTGACTCTCATACTCATGCCGGTGAACCTTTGGAAGATGATGCGGTGACCCTGCTAAAACATCTCAAAACATGTCAAGACATTTCCTTCGTCGTCACCAAGCGGTCTTGGAGCTGTGGCCAGGGGCAGTGTCGAATTGTCAAACCCCATGAATTCCATTCTGTTTACATTTGCTTGCCATGGGTTGCCATCCAGCAAGCTTTGCAGTCTCTGTGCCGCATCTCTTTGCAAGGCTGGATTTGCCAAGTGCCTCGTCACAACGTGGAATGTCAGCTTTTCAAGCCTCAACAGACAGCTGAATCTATGCTTAGATGGCGTGTTTTTGTTGAGACTGCTGCCAAACCTTAAGGCAATGCTTCCTACGAGGACGGCTCAGGTGCAATCATAACTCACGAAGCATCATGTCGACTCCAGGACATCGAGCACTTGCTCTGGGTGAAAGTCCTGAAGATTGTTGATGGAAGAGGCATTCCAGTCGAAATAGATACGTTGCTCTTAACGTCCTGTAACGGCAGCGATTGTGAGTTCTCTGAGTGCATCTTGAATCCACCGCCCGATGGTTGATGCCCCAGGCGTGCAGAGTCGCACCGCAGCAGCCCTGACGATTGTGTGCCTGCACTGCAACGCAGAGACTCGTGCGCTTTGGGAACTCCCTTAGCCAGCTTTGGTTTGTCAGGTTCGAGCGGCTCATCGGCCTGCTGTTCACGACTGCGTGTGTGCAAGCTGTGCCTAGTCTTTGCAAGCGGTTAGCAAGGCAAAGTAGGGGAGAGGTTTCTGGACTACTGCGGGTTTATCCAGTGAGTCAGCAAGGCTCGAGAAGCCACAGCACCAAGTTCAATGCCGATGGGCGGGATGAGCCACTTGTACAGCACTTGAGTAGTATTTTACTTGGGGATACTATGGTACCCAATATAGAGTAAGATTATATCCTCCATTCCTTATACAGTAGTTTATATAAGGAATATAATGTTATTGGGTTCAACCACCAAAAAAACGCTACTCACCTGTCATAGGACATGTCGAGGCTGTGTCTTGCTGCATTGTCATGCCAGGTGAGCGATGCGTCTATGCATGGCTTCGGTCCAACAAGGACGGGAAGGGTACAATTTTGCTGTTTGGCTGTTCGGTGTGCTGGATGCTGGCAGGACTGGATAATAAACTCCTTGACCGGCGCGTACGTCCAGCACGGTATGAGTATTTTGACCTATGTCAACGAGCCCTGAGACTCAGATTCTTCTTGAGCAATTGCAGACTTCCAGGCATACCGCATGCTTCAGCACGTCTTTAGCTCAGGTGCACGAATTTGCAAGGAGTCCAGTATGTTGGGGAGATCATGTACCAGATGCTTTTTGAAGAAGAGGGAAGTTACCACGCTTTGGTTGTAGGCTGGCAGTCTTTGATGCGAACACTTGTGATTGCAAAGCATCGTTTTTTTCTGAAATTGGCTCCATTGAACTCACCAGAGTCAGACGGGGCGAGGGAAGTGGCTGCCTTGACACAGGTTTGGTTTGCGTCCGCGCGTTGGAATTGTTTAACCTGAGCTATCGACTCCGGTGGCTCCCGCGTACGCAACTAGGCTGAAGGAAGTTGTCACATGTTGATGCCCTCGAGATGCTACACTTTAAGATGAGTTTGGCCTGGTGTGCCGCGATAATCCAAGGATCTTCCTTGCTAAGTTCAAGCTCATCAACTTTGTCATCGCTTATGTTGCGCTAGTTGCAGGCCAGCCGCATGTCCTTTCGTTTATTGCTGCAATCATTTACACGGCAGTCCCGAGTTCGTGTCGACGTTTGGGTGTCATGCCAGGCTTTGCATTGCTTATGACCCTGTACTTTGGCGAGCTCTATGAGCAGTGGCCTGGAGTGCATTGGCCTGTCAAGTGGACGCTGGTGCCGACACTCTCGACGCACTCAGGTACTCGACCCTCGACAGGCCGCAGCTTTTGCGGTCCCATTGACTGCTTAGCAACCCATCGCAAGTGAAAATTAGCAAATGGAATTAGAATCTGAGCTCTTCTCAGTTCTGCCGGAATTTGGTTTTTGCTCTTGCCCTTTCTGACTTGGAACGGAGTAGTGCGCTGTGCGATGGGACATGCTTCCCGTTTGTAGGTCATTCCACACGCTTCTTGTGTACAGCTTCGGAATGACTGAACGTGCCGGAACCCTAGCGTGCCTCAAGACCAATCTGAATCTCACAGCCTCGAAGAGCCATCCAGGCAACTCATGGGATGAAGCCTTTCATCGAGAAAAGTGGCGGCTTGGACTGCTATGTGCATGTGACTGTGCTTTGTCACTGTCTCCATCCAGTGCTGGCGAAGCCTTCAGAAGAAGATGCTTTCCATGGCCCAGAACAAAGCGAGGCAACCACTTGTACGCGGTGCTTTTCGTATTCAGCGTCTTCATGGTGACGATCATCTTGAGCCTCCCTCGAGGGTTTTGTCGCAGTCTGTTGGAACGCATGTTGATTTTTTTTTTGACAGGTTCTTGCACAATTCCTACCCAGCCAAGGAACATGTTCACCACGATCGTCATTGACGCTTTCGCGGCTGAGGGTGATCCCGAGAAGTTCAGCAGGGCTTACCAGGCCAGCTCAAGCTGAACGGAGGCGAAAGAAACAAAAAGCTGACCTGCTCGTTGAGGAAGAGGTGAAGGGCCTCACGCACTCCCTCTTGACCTTCTTCGGGAAAGGCCTCAGCTTCAATTGGCAATCTGACGGCCCAAGCTGTGCTACCTGCGAGGCCATGTGGTGACGCGACATCTGCGGAAAACACGCCGGGCCAGCGACCAGACAAGCAACCCAACTGATCAGGGAAGGCCTTCCAGGTCTTCCCTTGCCGGCCTAATGCGCCAGGCGGGGTGCGAGGTGCCTCTGGCTTCATGAGCCAGACTGCCCGTGCAGGAATCCGAGGACAAGGAAGTGAAGTGATCTGTGTCTTGAAGCTGCAACGACAGCCAAAAAGGCACACAGGCCGCCATCCTTGTATCTCCATATTTCCTGTGCAGAGGTCTCCAAATGGAGACTGCCAACTAGCTCCCCTAGCTTGCTTCTAGCATGATGTTGGTCTCGCAGAGTGCCGAATGCTCAAAAAGAAAAAGCGGTGCCTCATGCTCTGGATTTCCTGCATGTCTGGTATTTGCTCTGGCCTGAAGGTGTTGCATGGCACCTGCCCAGAACCTGCTTCTGTCAGTCCGTGGACATGCGCTACTGGGTGAAAAAGTTCTACAAAGACGCCTCTGAGTGGAATGATGCGATCGGTGCGCAGCCAAGTCCTCATGTGCTTGGCAGACCAAAAGCGATGGAGCCTCAGGTCCTTTCCAGCAGCAGAAGCAGATGGCAGAGGCCGCCGTCAACGTCGGCTCTGAGCAGGCAGTGGCACGTGAACATGTCAAGAACCCAACAATCAACTCTTCCATGAGACTTGTCCTGCCTTTTTTTTTGAGGGGGGGTTGGAATGCCATGTGTCAGCTTCGAAGCACTCAGGCACCTGAGCTGCCTCCAATGCCAGCAGCGCCGCGATGACGCGCCTGCGTGTGCGTGAAAGGATCATCGCTTTGCCGGGGGTGGGCATTTTTTCTGGGGCTAACTCCTTTTCGTTTGTTAGTCTTGAAGTGGCACAACTTGCAGATACTTTGCCGAGATGTTGTGAGGCTCCAAGGGCCTAGGAAAAGCACTCCTGACCCACTCTGCATTGTTTGCAGTGTCCTGCTCAAGCAGATGACCTGTGAGTTATCGGTCCACTCTTGCAACGGCGCTGCATGACAGGGTTGGCATTTGGAAAGCTGGCAGGGTATGCAGCTTTTGGTAGCGGTACCTGAAATTAATGCTTGTGCCGAAAGCATCATACAGGTTTCTTTGGGACTCTAGAAAAGGATCAGGACCGCAGGTTGGCCAGGTGTTGCATTCACAAGGAGCGCTTAGTGCTTCGTACCGACTGCCCCATGGGCCAAAGCGTCGGGGTCGACCTCGCGGAGCAGACAGGCTTCAGGCGCTTCTCACCTAGCAACTCTCAGTGCAGCAGCCGTTCCCGTGTCAGGTCATTGGACGGTGGCTCGCAGGCAGACCCGTGTGCAGACTGGTTGCGCGAGTAAACCTTACACATTGCATCTTCCAAAGTGTTTGAGGCTTTTTTTGACAAGGGCGTTCGTTTCAGGACCAGGTACTTACGAGGCAGTAGTCTTCAAGCCGGGCAGGTTAGACCTTTGATGCTTAGCAGAAGCCAATCGGGCTTCCAACAGCCGGCGGAAACCCGCAGGCGTCCGGAGATGTGCCGCCACGAGAGCTGGCACGGCAAGACCAGGCGTGTGGAAGCTTGAAGAACGGAAAAACACATGCCGAAGAATGTGGAAATAGCATCGAAGCTGGATTATATACGGTACACCAGGATGATATGACTATCTATAATCATGTGGTTTGGTGGCCGATGACATGCGAGCCTTCCTTACCGATGCCCTTGGCGGCACGAGGAGTCCAGCCTTGAAGGACCCTCAGGCAGGAAATTGACGCTTGTGTGAAGTTCCAAAAAAAAGGTTCTTCACAGTTCCTGCCAGGTGAACCGTTGAATATAGTGGTCCGAGGGGAGGTGCCAGCACGGCCCAATATTTTTAGTTCCGTGGATGGCATGCTGTGAGGCACGTGCAGCATCAAGGCCAGCTCTCAAGCGCGAGGGGACGTCAACAACAAAAACTGGCAGTTTTGTTTTGCTTTTTGCATCCAGGTCTGTGGATGCAGCCAAGCCTGATGCATCCAGCTCGGGCAGCTCAGCGCCGGCCACCAAGAAAACAATTAGCTGATTGGGCTGGGTTTTCATCTCCAGTTCTGATTGCCAGGCCCGCATCGCTGGGGTGGAGCGGAGGCAAGACTCTGAAAGCTGTAGTTGAGTCAATGGAGTCGTCCCCTCTTCGCAAATGCATGAGGTGGCTCATCTTGGGCAATTGGAGGCTGCAACTGGATTCAGTTCTCTTGAAACGCATGCGCCATCGGCTTTTAACGTACCGTGAGGTGCTGCGCTAAATTGGCAGTCGCCGCAGGCACCGCAGTCTTGTCCAGCCGCCCGATCTGGGCTTGAGCTTGGAGCAAAGGCTTGGCAGCCTGGAGTGCAGCTGCCATCTCAATTTCAGGCAGTGTGATGCGAACAGAGACAGCAGTCTGCTGGCATATCTTCGCAGGGCTTTTGCCCTGCCACGGCCGCAGAGGCGGAGGCAGGGCTGATGCGGCCGTGTATGCCTTTTGCATCCTTGTCCACACCCTGCTGTCATGAGGCGGAGAGCCAACGCAGATCGGCCCAAATCGCGGCTTTGACCCGCCAGGCCTAGCTTCCCACATCTTGAAACATCGACTCCGTTTCGCTCCGTTCCGAAGGTGGAGGCAGCCCGTTATGAGCTAGCGCAGCTCCGGCGGCCTTCCGCAGCAGCGGCCATTGCGCTCACGCAGCAGGAGCGCAGGAGCACAAGCCATGAGGATCGTATACCCTGGTGTGGGCATTTGCCAGAGGCACAGCAGCTGATCACGGCCTTCCAGCCTGAACTCGGCACCATCAAGGCTCTCCAGCTGTGGAGGCTGAAGCGTGATGTCGAAGAAGCCTCAGCCTCAGCCCTGGCAGGCAAAACTAGCGCACACGGCTCACGTTGCCAATGAGCTCCACTCCTGGTTCATGACGCCTCCTGGCCCAGAACAACTAAATGCGGCCGTACTATGACTGTCTGATGTGGTAGTTCAGACTCTGATCAGAAAATCAAGGCACCGAGACAAAATGTCTATAGAGGACGGCCCTGGTTTGTGGGCATAGTGCGTTCAAGCAGGTTTCTTTTTGTGGTCCTTGTTGTCCCATTCAGGATCCCAGCCGCTCGCCATCGGCGCAGTTGCATCACAGGTTGCAGTGTGAAGCTCAAGGGATTTCGCGGGCAGTTTGGCAGAAAACCTTGCGATGGGTGGCTTCTGATGAAAGAGACATGAGGTCATCGGAGATTCTCATAGATGGCTTCCGCAGCGTCGCAGAGCGACTTGAGGGTCTGAGACTTGGTGCCTTTACACTTCTGCGTGTCTGTGTCCAAGCCGACAAGAATTAAAGGTGGAGTTATGTTACATTCGAATGTTGGCAGCTTTGCCTGTCAATGCTGATACTGTCTCCGCCTTCGGCAGGTGTGCTAGAAGCGGCCCTCAAGGCCGCTGCAGCCCGAGCAACCGTGTTCCTGACCGGCCTCTCCCCATGCCAGGAAGCAGAGCCAGCCGTGCAAACCTGAGAAACGCGAGGCAGGCAAAAGGTTTCAAGTCCTCAGGTGCAAGGGGATGCCGAGGTGTCTGGAAGTCGTCCTGGCCCAACTCCACAAGGCGCCAGGCCAGGAACCCTTCGCTTCCAAAGGCGCAAGCGCTATCTGCATGCCGTGAGGCCAGGGGGCGCAGGGGTGCAGGCCTCAGCTCAGCAAAATTGTCAGCATGCGCCTTGTTGAAGATAAGGTTCCTGGTTTGTGGGTGAGAGATCCGGATGCTGTCCAAGCTCTGAGCGCGAAAGGCTGCATAGAAGTGTAAGGAGAAAAAGAGTTTGTGCCGTCGTCTTCGGAAGCGACCCCAAAGCCAAGCAGCTACCGCAAGTGAAAGAAAACGTGCTGGAATGAAGGAAGATGACCAACTAGGCCCCAGGTTTGAGATGAGCTATGTTGGACCACCATAGGGGTTATTAAGGGCGATACTAGGAGTTTAGACTATGGCTCATATGCCTGACAAGCCGGATCTGCAGAGCGACTGTAGTAGCTATGTGCTTTCAAGAGTCGCAAAGGTGGGATGACTGGTGGTTTACAGCTCTGTGGTGTCCTCTTGTGGTTGTGACACAGGACAGAATTCTTTGGTGGTCGCTTCAACCTGTCGTAACACAGAATTCAATTCACGTCTGCTAATAACAGCTAATAAGTTGGATGCACAATTATCACTTGATCCGGTTCTGAAGCTCTTGAATGTACTTAAGAAGTTGTGAAATGCTGGGCAGAGAGTTGCATTGTGTACATTGCCGTTGCATGTTGCCCAGAGCACAGGGCTGCAGCTCTTTCATGCTCATTGCTCATGCTGGCTTTTTCTGTTGCACTGAAGGAATTTGTTGTGTTTTGCCTGCTGGTGCACTTGTGGCACGAACTCTTGAACCGGCTCTGCACGCACGATGCTGCAGGATTGTTGTGCGCTTCAGCTCATTGGCTCAAATAATGTGCTCAGGTATACTCATGATGACATGGATGGGATGTACTGGTTTCCTTTTCTCGAACACTAGAACTTTTAGCCATCTTGCTGCTCGCACAATGTGGCGCTCCAGGAGGAACTGGCAGAGTTTGGCGACTGGTCTGCATTAGTTTGTCAGGCATTCTTTGCTTTGCCATTTTTACATTGTCTTGTGCATATGTCTGGATGCTTATTTCTGCGGATTCAAAATGACATCATCATGTCAATCAATACTGAAGTCGAGTCATATGTCATGCATTACCAACAAGCTTGTCCATAAGTTTGTAACTATGGTCCCGATTATGGGCCCTGAATTCTGAGGTCCTCATATACCTATGAGATACCCTATAAGACCTTAGAGGCGCAACTAGAGACCGAGAGTTAGGACCCAGCGAAGGGAGTTCAAGTGCTGCAGCCCTTTTCCCTGATACGTGGCTAGCGTGGCTGGGTCGGATTGAGACTGAATTATGCACTGCTCTCATTTCAACATGTCTAGAAGTAAGCTTTGATTAATTAAGGTTTGGCTTTGCTGCATGTGAGCCAAGAGAGACAGTGCTGTTTTTCCTTAAACGCGCAACTTGCACTGATGAAGTCACTTGCGTGTCAAGTCCTTCTGAGTGCTTGCAGGTCGAAGTAGCATCAGATGAAGTCACCCGCTGCGCAACCGCTTGCTGCTTAGCTTTGCTGCCATACTGTGTTGGAGCTGGGTGTGATCCTAACAACTCTGCGTGTTTTGAGTCACGCTGCGTAAGGTTCACTCGCACCTGTTCGCAGAGTATGAGCGCAGGTGCGCTGTATAGTTTTTGAATTCAATCTTCTGTTCTTCTGTACAACGAATGAAAGATTCATATGTACGCATGTATACACTCACACAATCTTCTGAACAGATTACGTCCTCAAAGAGATTTTGAGAGCTTGTGTCTGATTTGATAGGGATTTGCGCTCGCCTCGACAGGTGCTTCTGCCTTGAAGGGTCGAAGCCTTGTTGCAATATTTGTGTGCCCCCGGGTTCAACTTTCTGACAGCAATCGGCTGGGTGTCTTAGCGTCGGATGCCTCATGCGGCGCAACATGTATTGCCATTCTGACATGAGACGCGTGTCTTGGATTCTTCGCTGCCTTCCTTGTATGACTCTTTTCAGATCTTGCTTTTCTTGTTGATGCTTGAGGGTTAATACATCCACTGCGATTATTGATCATGACTTGCGTAACCTGCATCTTGTGTCCTGTGTCCTAACATGAGCCCGTAATTTGTTTTGTAGGATTTCTAGGGTGTAAGGTCCAGAAAAAAGGGCCCACACTAGGAGCCAATAGTTACAACCTTAGAGTCTGAACAGACTCAACGAAGGGGCCCCAAAAGGCCCCAGATTCTGGAGTCTCATCCGAAGCCCCTCTAGCCTCCAAAAGCCATGGCCTGTGTCCTACTGTGTATGGAGAGGATGCAGAACATATCATAGTGCGTTTGGTTGTAACTCGCGCCATGTTATCAAGATTTTGACCCAAACTGGTTCTCCGAAACGACATCCTCATCTCATATGAATTTCCTTGCTGGCCAGGCAGATGCGACTTCTGCAGTTTCACGGGACGAAAGGTCCCTTCTGACAATGCGACTATCCGAGCACCTCTTGCCAAAAAAGACAGTCCACCTGCAGCTTTGTAGTTGTGGGCAAGCTTAGCAAACGCGTACTTGAACCATTGCCATAAGGGGCCCTTTGGGTTTTGTGCTTCACGTTAGATTTTGTCATAGAAGGCTCGGAGCCCTTGGGCATAAGTTTACTTCGGGTTCCCTCAAAGGGCTCCTTGAAGTCCCATACTTTTAAATCGGACTTTGATATAAGGGGCTGTTGCGGTTTCCTACAGGCTCCCTTTAAATTCCATACTTAGCCGTCGACTTTTTCATGTAAGGGACCCTAACGGTTGCATAAAGGCCGTTACCTCCGTGCATACACTGTCTTGATGACTGAAAGCAAAAACCTTTGTCCGTCAAACAGCCGAGTCACGAGCCGTACCTGCCTTGCGCGGATGCATTCGGATGTCATTATGGTCTGTCCTTATGGTTTAGCCATGGATGCGCTGGTCATCCGATGCGCTCGAAAATCAAAACATTACTATTAATGCTTTGGGTATGGATGCACTGGCCACTACTTCCCAAGGCAGCATTAGCTGGATGTGCGGAAATGTCCTCGGACGTGCCAAAACTGGTTTTTAGCTTGCAAAGGCATGGAACACACAAAGTGGTGACTTGACTTTTTTTTTAAAAAATTGGCCCAAGACAGGAATTTTGAAGAACCACGCTTTGAAATGTTGCTGAAACAGGTTTCGCGCGCGTGTTTCCTAAATTTCCCGCAGAACAAGTTCGATGGTTTCCGAAGGCCTGTCTTCCGGACCACGCCGGGCAGAGGTGTTTGCTGCCGCTATGCAGGTTTGAAGCTTGAAAGCCCCTTAACAACTGAAGTTGTTCCATGGCCGCAAGCGTACCGCGTTCTTACTACTGATTAGTACTACTCATACCAGTACGAGCACATGACTACCACCAGTGCAATTGCCAGTTTTTTGTTTACTTCCGCCATCTTTTGAACAAGACATGCCCCAAACCAGACATGCTGACATGCCCAACACATGAAGCAACGCCTCCGCCAGCACTTGTTGCACAGCTGTGTGGCTCTGCCAGCTCCCCCTGGTCACGGTATGCCTCCGCGAAGAATATTGTAGTCACCGACCATTTTGGGGACTCTGGAGCTTCTGCGGTATGCAGCCAAACCTGGGGCAAGATGACACTCTGCGGCTGTTATGTGCTACTGTTGATGAAGGTCACGTTCTCATGCGTATTGGTTAGCAGTGATTGGAACCGCACTACTTGATTTCGGTTTTGCTGATAGAAATGGTGCTTACTTTGTCTAGTTGGAAACAAGCAGTTCTTAAAGCCTGTCTGCAGGCTGTAATTGGAACTTTTAAGTCAAAACTTTTATTGGGCTCCGATACGAGCTTCTGTGAGTGCTCGCGTTTCGACTGTTAGAGTATGAAAAAAGTTTTGTTTTTTACATTGTTATCGCAGCTTTTATTCCCGCTTCCATTAAGGTTCGTAACAGCGGCTCTATCATCCTCCTTGAAAGATGCTGTGTTTAAACCTTGTGTTAGAGCTTCTGTTCTCAGTAAAGCTTCGATTAGACTTGTTGGGTTGCAGACTTGAGTGCCAGCTGGTTCTGGGCTTCTTTCTGCCAAATAAGCCTCCAAAATGTAGAGGCTGTTGCAACTTTCAATCTGTTTCGTGATCAGCGGTCCTGCTTACTGTATCCTTAGCAGAACATGGAGCTTATGCGTTCAGCTTTGGCCAAGCGCAGTCGCTGAAGCCGCAAAAGCAGCTGTCTCCAAAACGCGTCCGGAAGTACAGTGGAGACAAGGCAAACATAGCCTGTTGAGAAAATCCGTGCAATGTCGGCTTAGGTTCACGAATCGGCCCCGCTTGCCGTCCACATTTCTCACGACTTGTCAACAAAGCCATTGACGAACTAGCTTTCTCCTCATCAGCTTCCGTTCCTTGCTTGGCTTGTTCGTGGCTGTCCATATTGCCAGCTTTCTCTCAAAATCCATGCTGTCAGATCCCTGCAGTTCCTAGAGCCGTAAACGAAGACAATTCAGGCTGTCATCGAGTCATCGATTGCCAAAGAAACATTGCCCATCTTGCCCTCGGTCACCTTGTCATCTGCCTTCGCGGCGACAAGCAAGGAAAGGATTGCCATGAGGACCATGAAGTGGCCTTCAACTCTCCCTTGTCCTCCATGGCACTGAGATCGGGATTTGTCTCTATGTCCTCAGCCTGCTCCTCCCTGCGGCATGTCAGAACCCAAAACCCTGGTTTTCGTGCCCTCAGTGCATTTTGATAAGGCTCTGTGCTGATTTGCCGAGCTTTCACAAATTAAATTTTACAAAGGCGCCACCATCAAACATGATCGCATCCG